TCTAGGCCCTTGAGTTCCTCTGAGAATTGCCAGGCTATTGTCTCTCCCACATTCTGACCTCTTCATATTTGCTCATGGCCTCCCCCATTCCTCCCCTGTGCCCCACACTGAGGTGGGAGCCAGCTGTCCATTGGATGAAATGGTTAGTAAAGATCTGGTCCAGCCATCCCCACTGGCCATGCCTTTCCAAATGCTCCTGCCCCCAGTTAGTCCTTCCATCATACAAGGTCATCATACAAGATCTTCATGCCTGATGTGCCTCAGGTCATCTGTCTCCCAGGGCCCACATGGTGCTGACAACTGAGCTCTGCTTCAGTATGGCCAACTGGCTTGTAGCAGAAGGCTAAGTCCATTCATTTCTTTACTCATTCTGCCATCTTAGGTTGACCAAGAGTAGGCTCTGAACCACGCCCTTTGTGCCTAGGATCCTAAAGGACACAAACCTTTAGGGACAGAGACCGCAGTATGAGTGTGACCACCACTGGGACTCCAAATTTAGAGTGGGAGGAAAGTTTAAAACAAAACAAGAGCCAGGTTGAGCCTTGGAAACCAGCTGGCCTCCAGCAGAAGCCTTATATGGAAATTAAAGATCATCATGTAGCAGTCTTCCTGATCCACAGCCTTGCTCCAGGACCTTGTTAAAAGCAGACACTCCTGAGTTGCTGGCACAGGCTATTGACATCCTCCTAATTACAAACTGAGCAAGCAGCAATCTGTAGCTCTTTGATCTGTCTGTTCCTTCTCTTGTCTTCCCCTTTATCTCATGGGCTCTGTGTAGGTATAGGTTAGGGCACAAGATTGTATTTTGTTATTTGTCTCAAGTTTCAGAACACAGCTTTACTAACCTTTAGGTTACCACATCTTTTCTCATTTGTTAAAAAAGCATCTGTGTGTGTGTGTGTGTGTGTGTGTGTGTGTGTGTTGCTGATGATGGAACCCAGGGTCTTACACATGTTAAATTAGACAAGGCCTTGCCACTAGGCTACACCCTCAGCCCTACTTCTTTTAAAAGCCCATTTTCTAATCCCTGTACTCAGGAGGCTGAGGAAGGAGAATTGCTTGGGCCAGCCTGGGCTACATAGTGAGTTCAAGGCCAGCCTGAACAACATAGCAAGACCTTATATCGAAAAACCCCCCAAAATTCTCTTCCTTGGGCTGAATTTAGCTTAGTGGTTTTACCACCTGCCTTGCAAGCTCAAGGTCCTGAGCTCAATCCCTGGTACCCCAGACCCCCACCCCAGTATCTTCACTTGATCTTAGCCAAAAGGCCTAGAAGTGATCTCAATGAGTATCTTGACCAGAGGAGGGGATGCTGGCTCTACTGCCACCCAGTGTCTAATCCTGCTGAATTTTTCAAAATGCTTTTCCTGATGGGCAGCATTAGAGTATGCTGTCTTTGACATACTGAGAGTTCTGCTGTCCTCAGTAAACCTAAAATTCCATTTCCCAGAATTTTCTCTGTGCTCTTTTCTCTGCTCTGATTTAGGTCCACGTAAGTGCAGAAAGAAAGCCTTTGAGGGTAAGAATATTGAAGCTAAAAATACAAAAATACATCTTGAGACAAAGCTGAGGGAAGAACTGAGTCATGGTAGTAAAGCTCAGCTTCATCCCTTCCCTCCTTCCCCTGGCGGCTCTGGTAAGGATGCATTTTCTGCCAGAGAGCCTGCCCAGAGAGAGTCATGGGTTGGATAAAGAACCCACAAGAGCCAGGTGTAGTGGGGAACAGCTGTAATCCCTGCTACCTGAGAGGCTAAGGCAGGGGGCTTGCAATTTGAGGCCAGCCTGGTCAACTTAGTGAGATCCTGTTGTTCCCCCTAGAGCACCCCTACCCAAAGAACTAATGGAGGTCAGGAGAAAAAGTGTTTTTTTTTAGAACATCTGTGTTCTTAGACCCTAGGACTTTAGGGTCTGGGAGAGACTTAGAATTCATTGCACTGATCCTTCATGATCAAAGTGAGCTGTGATTTCTCTCACGTCGCACAGAGAAGGTTCAGTTAGAATGCATGTTGCTGGGTTTGCAGCCTAACACTTTTTTAACATTTTTTTCCCCTCTATATAGTGCTGGGGAATGAACCCAGGGCCTGGCACATGTGAGGCAGACACTGTACTACTGGGCTACATCCCTGGCTCCTCAGTCTTACACTTTAATCTATCACCTAAATGCCATTCAGAAGAGACCCAGATGTTTTACTCATGTCCTAACTTGCTAGTGGTGAGCCTACTGCCAGAGGAAGGCTAGGGAAGCCTTTGAGTAGCATTTGCCGCACCCCTTCACAGAAAGAAGTCGCTTCCTTTTCTCTGCAATAAGCAGCCTTGGTTGGAGATCTGGCTCCTTTCTTTGTTCCCTTAGCCGTTGGACTCAAGGTGAGAATACCACTAGTGGCTTAGAAAATGTTCTTGCCAGATCCCTGTGATATTAGAGCTACAGGAAGTGGAGGGAATAGGGAAGAGGCAGACAGGTCCTCTGAGGTGGAGCAAAACGCCTTTCATTTGTGTGCCTTTTCCTCCACTGGGAGAACAGGACTCCACCGCTGAGGAGTGGCTTTGATCCAGCAGAAGTGTTAGGATGGGTGAAGATGGTGGGGAAATGCTCATGGGAATTGCTGCCTCCTTTCCACTCTTTGCTGTTACACATCAGGAATAAATACCCTAACTGCAAGGGGACAAGAACTCTTTGGGAAACCTGGATTTGGAAGAAAAGTAACCAGCTTGATTGTCAGAGTCATAGTAAAGGTGATACCTTCCTCCCACAGTCTCTCTTTAGGGCCCAGCCCCTCACCTACACAGCTCCAGGAACTTGAGAGTGTAGATTGGGACCCACGGTTTGTGTCTAGGTGTCCCCCCAAAGACTTAGGTGGTCAGAGGTGGCTGGTTCTAGGGTGTGTGATGCTGGGATTAAGAGTGCCCCATCCTGGGTGTGATGCTACATGCCCTTAGAGCCGAGATGGAATATAAGGAACAGAAAGAGGGCTTTTGCTGCTTCTTTGCTGCCTCATCACTTGCTGCTTTGCTGCTTTACCACCTTCTGCCTGCCCTGCCATGCCATGGGCTATTTCTCCTCTTTGATGTTCCTCTGCCATCCTACCCTGCCTTGGAGCCAGCTGACTATGGACTGAAACCTCTACAAGCTGTGAGCTGAAATAAACCTTTCCTTTTTTAACTTTGGGTGTCAGGTATTTTGTCTCAGTAATGAGAAAAGTAACTAAGACAACTGGGTGTACAAGCTGTCCTCTGATCCCAGAGCAGAGGCCTGAGTATCTAAGAGGCAAAGCCAGTTGACCTCAGTATTTAACCTGTCAGGTCCCATGCTCCACGTGAGTCCAGAAGTAGGTAGAAATCTCTGGGAGACTGACCAGGTAGTCTTTGGGACTATTCCATCTGTCAGCCAGTTGAGGTACACGTGTGTCCCTGATCTGGTCCCAAATATATATACTGAGGCCAGAGTTATGTTCTTCATCAGGGCAAGCAGTTAGAGCAATGGAAACTGAAGAATACAACTGTTTATCATTTCCTTTTTATCATGCTCACAAGCAGTCAGTCATAGGATAATAGACACACAAGCTCCAGGAGCTAAGTGCGTGGAGGAAGTAGGTGAGTTGGTTGAATGCATTTTTAGGAGGTGCTCAATTGGACTTCAGGCCTGAAGTGTGGCAGTGAGGGAGTATGGAAGTCCTTACTTTTGTGAGCTTGATGGTCTTGGAAGGGTTTCCAGGAGCTGCTATTCTGGAGGTCAGTTTAAACCCTGCCTGTCAACAGGGTGGATGAGGACCACCTCCCTGTGTTCAACCTGCCTGACTGCCCTCTGCAAGTTTGTTAGTGCACAAGGGGTAGGCTGGAGGCCATTGCTGAGGATCACATTGGCTTGGGGAGTCCCCATCCTGGCACTGTTGCTCCCAGCTCTTCAAACATGGGGAGTTCTGGGGCTGCCGGAAAGAACTGGGCTGGCCCTCAGACAAATTAGTCTGTTGGCATTCTGCACACCATCACACATACACAGTAATTGACGAGGTGAGAATCTGGGGGAGCAGGAAGGGTAGGTCAGTCTAGCCCGCTTTGATACTGACAGGCTGGCTGCTTGACAAGCAGCAGGGGTTGGTTCCTGGTGTGAGCCTATGCCCCTCTGAAGATAGAGATGCCTAAGTCCGTAGGGCAGGTCTGGTGAGAGGTCCTGGGACTGCCTCAGACTGGTTGGAAGCTGCAGGATTCCATAGTTTGGCTGCGTGTGCATGTGAAGTGGGGAAGCCTCTGATCCATCTGTGTTCAGATTCCTGGCTTGTGAGTCCAACTTTATTGTTATTCCTGAGAAGGATCCTGGTCTGTATCTGCCCCCAAGAACCCCTGTTCTATCAGCGGGTGGAGAAATCTAGATGCTCTGAATTGTTTCCTTTTCTCCCCAGGGCTGGGACTACAAACTTCCTCTCTAAGGGGCCTGATCTGGTCATCCATGAATTGAAATTTAAGTCTGACTCAAGATGTGGTGGGAAAGTTTGGGTCCTTATTAAGATCTCCCTGAGTTATGGTAGTCTTCAGCCTCAGCTAGGCTGTGAGCCAGACTTTAGCTCTAGAGTACTTAAAAGTGCCCCCCCAGGGCTAGGCGTGGTGGGGTACACCTATAATCCTAGCACTCAGGAGGCTGAGGCAGGAGGATTGCTCTGAGTTCGAGACCAACCTGAGCTACATAGTGAGTTCCAGGTCAGTCTCACTACATAGTGAGACCCTGTCTCAAAAAACAAAAATAAAAAGTGCTCCCTGGGAAAGAAGACAGGTTCTTTTCTTCCTTATTTTACATCTCATCATTAGAGAGCAGCTCTTGCTCAGCGGCCTGGGCCAGTGTTGTGTGAGTAGGGAAGGCCCAGGATGCTACATGGGAGGAGCAGGTGACACCTCTAAGATGGAGTACACAGACTCTGGGCAGGTCCCAGTGCTATGATGGCAGTGTCATCTAGGTTATGGGAATGGTTTTGGGTTCTATCACTCTAATACTTGTCCTTGTCCTCTAGCCCTGGCCTAGTGTGTCCAACCTGGCCAAGGACTTCATTGACCGCCTGCTGACTGTGGACCCTGGAGCCCGAATGACTGCACTGCAGGCCTTGAGGCACCCATGGGTGGTGAGCATGGCAGCTTCTTCGTCTATGAAAAATCTGCACCGCTCCATCTCCCAGAACCTCCTCAAGCGTGCTTCCTCACGCTGCCAGAGCACCAAGTCTGCCCAGTCTACGCGTTCCAACCGTTCCACTCGCTCCAACAAGTCACGCCGTGTGCGGGAGCGGGAGCTGCGGGAGCTGAACTTGCGGTATCAGCAGCAGTACAATGGCTGAGCCACCAGCTGTGGCTGCGCTCTGTGCCATCTGGGCCCAAGACCCTCTTTTGAAATAGGCCTCATGGCTAGTGGTATGTGGAAAATACCTGAAGCCTGCACCTTCTCTGTGCCTTTAGCAGCCCCCGTCCACAATGGGCCTGGGTTGGGTATGATGGAGTAGAGATGGCCCAGGAGGCTGAGAACCACATATTTGGGAACCTGGCCTGGCACTGATACCCCTTTGGTGGGCAGCTGCTCTGTATGAGTTAGGGGAAGGGACAGGTCCTTTCACCATCTCGCTCATCCTTTGGCTCTTCCTCAGACCAAAGGTTCTTGCAGTGCTGGGTAGAGGGTGGCCTATGGGCCAGGATGCTTTAGAACAGTTACTTCTGACACTCCCCTTTCATCCACAGAGCCTTCCTCCCTCACTCCTGACATTCTTTGCCATTCTAATCTTTAAGATTAGGCTCCAGTGGCAGGCCTAGCTTTGGCTTAGTCAAAGAATGCAGGCTCCAGGGGCCTTGACTGGACCAAGAGCTTCTGATTAGATCTAAGTCCCTACCTACTGTCCAAAATCTGTCTTCCTTTGTGGTGCTGCCAGAGACCGCTCCTGGCCCTAAGACTTGCCAGGACCTCTGGAGGCAGTGCCATGGCATGGACCTGAGCCTTGCTGGTGTAGGCCCACCCCAGCTGTTACCACTCTGTTTCTTCTTTGCGGAGACTTCCATTGTCTCCCTCTCCCCCTTGGATGCTCATTTCATTCCCTGGTGTCTCCTTCCCAACTGTAGGGGTTAAAGGGAGCCCCACTGCTGCTACCTGGGGAATGGGGGCACCTGGGCCAAGGCAGAAGGTTCCCCCTTAGGAACCCATTGTTAGCTCTAGTGCCCTGCTTTGATACTACCCATTGCCTCTTCCCTTCAGGGCCACTTTGCCCTCCTGTACAACTTCCTGAAGGTGTCACCTAACATCTGGCCTGGAAACAGGCAGCTAGAGGTGAGCAATGGATCTCCATATTGCATACCCAGTCTTCCATAAAGAAGTGAAAAGGAAGGAGCTGATGCATTGCAAGAGGGTCCTGGACTGCTCAGCTCCCTTTCTCAGCTTCTGTGTACCTTTCCTTGGAACTTAGCCATACTGTGTGACCTGCCTCTGAACCCTGGGTGCCTGAGGTCCTGGCCTTGCTGTGAGAGCTGCCTTTGTCCTTTCCACCCTGTGCCCACTCCCTTTCATAGCATTAACCTTCCAATTGGGCCTCATTGAGTCTCAGGCTAGAGGGAGCCCTTGCAGAAGGTGTGTGTAGGGGTTTGGGGGGCTGCTTTCCCAGAGGCCTGAGCCAGAACTGTACCAGTGGCTGTCATGGTATCTCTCTGCCACCACCACCAACCATGCTGGAGCCCAGGGATTTTCTCTCCACAGCTGCTTTCAGTGTGTAAGAATGGGGCAGGGCCAAGCCTCTGCCTTACCTAAGACCCTGCCAGCTGTGAGAGTTTGACACCCACTCAGCTGCTCACAGTGGGCAGCCTTGGGCCACATTCTCCTCTTTCTGTATGTGCCACCTCCAGTGGGTACGAAACCAGAGAGACCACTCTGTGCCAAGCTGACTGTGCCTTTTATGCTCCTCTACTATCCCTACTTTTTTGGGCAAGAGGAAATGGAAAGGCCAGGCCCCACAGCCTCTGAATTTTCTGCCACTTTCCCAAATATCTCTAGCTTCCTGAAGCCCTGGGGATTTATTTCCTATCCTGCCCAGGGTAGGCTTGGTCCTAAGAGTAGGACAAGGGAGTTTGGAGACTTGGGCCTTCATCACATGGACCCTGGATGGAGAATGTGCAGTTATTTATTTTGTGTATTCAGTTTGTAAATGTATCCTCTGTATTCAATAAACAGGCTGCCCTCCCCAGGGAAGGCTGCCTATTCATTCCAACAGCCCTAGCTCTGTGCCATGGGACCAAGGGATTACCCCAGAGGAGAAACGATGGGGCTCCATCTGAGATGGCTACTGCAGGAAGATCCTGACCTCTTAGTCCCTTCTGTGTCAGAAGATAAAGTTTAAGTGGGGGTGAGTAGGACCTCCAAGAGCTTCTCCTTTTCTCTGAGCCAGGAGAAAGAGAAGTACAGAAGAGGACACAGGTTGGGGGTCTTTATTAGGTTGGGATGGGGGAGAAAGCCTGTGGTAGGCTCAGTTGGAGGCTATGACCTGGTTGATCCAACTGTTGAACTTGCTAACCCGAGTGTACACAGCAGGTGCTCGCACATTGCAGTTACTGGTGCCCCAGGAGACAACACCAATAAGCACCCATGAGCTCCCTTTCTGGCATACAAGAGGGCCTCCAGAGTCGCCCTGATGGGGTAGAAGCAGGGAGTGGTCAGCCTGGCAGGTCAGAGGGGATATGCTGTGGGCCAATGCAGAGGTGGTCCCTGTGCTCACCTGGCATGAGGAGACACCTGAGGCACCTGCGCAGATCATGGAGTCAGTGATTTTTGAGCCCCAGTACTGTCGGCACTGATTCACAGTAACCAGGGGCAGAACTGCCTGTTGGAGGCGTGCTGGTGTCACATTGCCTGTGGGCCAGGAAGAGACAGTCAGACTGGCCAAGAGCTTATCACCCTCTCCCCCAGCTCAGGCCTGAGTTCCTACCCACACCACTGAGGCGGCCCCAGCCAGTGGTGACACACTTGAGGCCATCATACAGTGCCTCATTTGAGGAAGCCAGGCATACAGGTGAGATGCGTGCTGTATACTGGACTGGTGAGGCAAGCTTCAGGAGCGTCAGGTCATTGTTCAGAGTGGTGGGGTTCCAGCTCGGGTGTGTAATGGCCTATGGGGCCAGGAAAGGGAAAATGTAGGACCAAGGTGGGCACAGGCACCCAGAGTTGTTGCTGAGGTGGGTGGGCCAGGGCATGCCTGAATTTCTGTGTCCAGAACAACCCACCTGCAGTTCGGTCTTCCCACGCATGCAGCCAGGTACTCACCTTTGAGATGGACCGCACCTGCACAGGCTCAGCCTTGGATGAAAGGTCATACTCGCCCAGGATGACAGAGTGGCTGCTGGGACTGCAGTGAGAGTGGCTTTGGAAAGCCACTCAGAGTGCAGAGCAAGAAGGGCGCATCTGAGGGAAGGAGGTGGGAAGAGGTGGGCTGAGCAGGGTGGGCAGAATGCACACTTACCTGACTTGGCAGTGGGCAGCAGTGATCACCCAGTTCGGGCTGATGAGAGAACCACCACAGAAGTGGAAGCCATTTTGGTCCTGGGATCAAGGGTTAGAAAGGTGGGAAGGCCCAAGCCACAGTAGGCATGAAGCACCCAGGACCCTTGCCGTGCCCCTAGGGGCAGGTACCTGCAGGGACACTTGCCAGGGCCAGGATCCTGATACTGCATTCTCCCCATTGACAATCCTCTGGCTGAAGCTGAGTGCTGGTCCGATGGCAGGAACTCCACAGCCTGGCCATTGCGCTGGTGAGGATCCACACCCCAGCCCACTTCTCCCCAGTTCCTCCCCCTGGGTTCCCCAGCAGAATCCCAATTGAGTGCTTTACATTAGCTCTGCTTACAACAGTTAATGGGCCGCCACAGCTGTTACATTTACCACATCCAGCCTACCCCCAAGACCTATCAATCCTCTCACATCTCCATCCTATCCCCTACCTTTCCCCAACTCCATCCCTGCCCTTCAACGCACTCCACTTTTCTCTTTGACTCCTGTGATAGTCCCCTTCCCCTCCTCCACCCCTGAACAGTTCAAACCCTTCATGCAGCCAGAGGGCTATTCCTAAACTAAGCACCTATTTTCACAGCTCAGCTTCCTAAGCTCTCTCTCAAGCTTCTGTCCCTTTTGTGAGACAGGCCCTTTCCTGCTTCTCTGTTCTGGCACATCCTTTTTCCATGCTGTTCAGTTGCTTCCCTTCCAGCCAGACTAGTCTTCCCTGGGCCCCTGGACTGGTGCTGGGAGCTGAGTTGCACCAAGCTGTTCCTTCAGGGCTGATTTTGGCTTACCGCAGGAGGAGCCTAGGAGAACCAAGGTAAGGGTCAGGCTGAGCAGTAGCATTGTGGCAGGTATTAGGGTGAACACTGGGTCTGGCTTTATTTATGGGCATCCTTGTCCTTGGGACAAAGTCCCAGGCCAGCTGTGTAGGCTTAGCCCCTTCCCATACTCCACTTAGGAGTCTCCTCTTTGGGCCAAGCTTAACCTAGGTATGGGATTAACAGCCCAGGTGTGAGGTTCTCACCTCCACCGCCCCCAAATCCTGGCCTCTGATTGGCTACCTGAACTACCTCACACCCCAAGTGTTGGGTACTGGGTATCAAGGAAATAGTTACATTAGGTCTGTAATGTCAACTTAGTGGCTGGAATCAAGGAATTCTAAGGCTGTCAGGCACATTGGGCTCAGAGAATGCTGCTCTAAGTGGTGGAGGAACCTCCAGGTGTACCAAGTCTTCTGTGGAAGGCTAGGGGGTAGAGGTTCTGGCAAGTTGCTCATCCTAATGTATCATGTTGGGGATTCATGAATTTGGAACACAAGTTTTCTCAGAGATAGTGACTCTTCTATTGTGAAGTAGGGTGGGACACAAACCCCCATGTCTAGCTCTGAACCCCACATTCTTGCTAAGTGTTAGCTTAGCTCTCAGTTACTGGCAGACTCTGGACTGAGGTTGAGGGTTGAAGGCTGACAGCCATCAAACCTGTGAACAGCTTGCTAGTGTCTACAGCTCCAGGCTGAGCTTGAACCAAGGGAGAGAAGACTCTCCAAAGTTACAACAGGATGGGGATTTAGCTCAGTGGCACTGTTTGCCTTGTAAGTGCAAGGTCCTGAGTTTGGTCCTGGGTACCCCACCCCCCAAAAAAAGATTGAAACAAAGTTACAACAGGTGAGTTGGCTGGTCTCCTGCTAGGGGGCTGGGGAGGTTTACTGACTCAAAAACACCCTAGTCTGAGCCAGGTGTGGTGGTGGACACCTGTAATCCCAGCACTTGGGAGGCTGAAGCAGGTGGATCATCATGAGTTCGAGGCCAATCTGAGCTACATAGCTCAAGGTCAGCCTGCACTACAAAGAGAGACCCTGTCTCAAAACAAAACACCTTAGTCCAAAAGTGAGAGATGAGAGCTGGGATTTAGCTCAGTGGTTCTGCTGCCTGCTTCCCGAGTTCAATCCCTAGTACCCCCCCAAAAAAAACAAACAAAAAAAACCCCCAAAAATCAAAAAAAAGAGTTGAATGGTGTATAGAGGCATGGATGGTAGATGATCATGCATAATCAGAGGCCCAAGGCAATCCAGCCTGGAGTAGACCCTCCCTAAATGGGACTGCTCAGCAAGTGTCTTGGATAAATGTCTTATCTCCCCATAGTACTATAATACCTGTCAGCCAGAAAAATAGGAGTTGACCTGCCTACTCATGGCCCAGCATGTGCAGACAAAGCCCAGCTTTGTCTGAATGGCTCAAGTGGGTCTGGTCATCTGAGGGGTGTCACAGGTAAAGATGCTGTAGGAGTACAGAACACTTGGTGGGGACTTGCCCTTGGAGTTAGGGAGCAGCTCCTCTATCAGCACATTCGTCCTTAGGGCAGGCCTGACTGAGATGTGTGGGCTTTTTCCTGGGTCACTGATGAAAGAGGAAAGGCTCTGGGACAGTGCTGTCCAAGGGCCTTATGGGATCTACAACAGTAGACTAGAGGGTAAGAGAGTGTTGGGGTCACCGATGTGGAGTCAGATGAAGTTTTCGAGGGGACACAGGATGAAAGCTGTCTACCTTGACCCTGCAATGCTGGTTATTATGCTGGATTCTGGAGGTGAATGGTGCTTAAACCAGGTGATTTAGCTACAGAGCCCTGCTGGCAGCCTGCCCTATACCCAAGATATAAAATAATCTAGCCATCTGTTTAAGTGTTTGTATTTTCCACGTTTATTCCACTCATTTGGAGCTCTCAGGTGACTTCACTCCACTTCCATGGCCTGCACAGTTTCCTCCAGGAGGTCCAGTTTCAATGGCTTCACAATCTGGGTCAGGATTGCTGTGGTTCCAGGTGCCAATCGGTAATGGCCAAGCCTAGGAAAGGGGAGGGACAGCCTCTCAGCATGTAACTTGTCCTTGCAGTCCCCTATTTCTGTCCCCAGCTATTGCCCCATCTTCCTTGTGGTTCCCCTTTCCCCTGCTCCCACCTCTCCACAGGCTCTGTAGGTGAACTCAGTGTCCGCAGCAGCTTGGAGTCCGTTGCAGTGATCACACACACATCTACGCTGCCCCCAGAACCCAGGTCACCCAGGATCCCTGCGGTGATGGCTTCCACCAGCAGTCCCTGTGCAGCCTCCAGCTGAAATGATGTATGTGTGAGGTGTAATGGACCCCCTGGTGTTACCTTAGGCTCCAGCCCAGGACCTCTGTTAATTTTTTTTTTTTTTTTTTTTTTTGAATCTGTTTTTGTGCTTTTCTTTTCCGATCTTGGGGACTGAACACAGAGGCACTCCACCAATAAACTACATCTTCAGGGCCTCTTAATTTTTTTTTTTTTTTTTTGAGACAAGGTCTCACTATGTAGTTCAGGCTGGCCTCGAACTTGCAGTAATCCTCCTGCCTCAGCCTCCTGAATGCTGGGATTACAGGCGTGTACCACTATGCCTGGCATCGTTTGTTAATCTTGAAGCCCAGACTCTACCATCTGTCCACACAAAACTTTTCTCTGTCCCTCCACCCCAACTTTCCTCCTCAGGTCTTTGCCTGTCTCTGTCCCGACTCTATGTTCCCTCCACACACTTTCCCTTGCATAAATTTAGTCACCTATTCTGTGTCCCCCTTTCCAGAGGTTTGCTCACCTCACTCAGTCTTGTCTTGGTCTCCCACCTCTGGCTCACCGCATTTCTCCCTGGGTCTTGGCCATCCCTGAAGCCACAAAGTCATCCCTTTTCGTCCCTCTCCAAAGTCCAGACTTTGGGCCTTATACAGGACCCACCACACTTCTCTTCCCTTGGCTCCTAATGAGCCTCTGTGAACTTCATCTGCCCAGGAAGCTTTGGTACTGTAAGGACTGCACTCCACCTTTCTTCCACTCAGTCGTCCCTTCTCTTCCTCCTCAGAAGCTTTCCCTGCCTTTCACACTGGGCCAGGGTTCCTCTGTACTTCCTTAGGTCCTGGGTGCACTTTCCCACCAGTGCCCATATAGTAGGGGACAGAATGCTCACAGTCATGCTCGGCTGGAATTGGTCCTCCAGCACCGCCAGGGCCGCATCCTGCCCAGATCCTGCGGGCAGGAGGGACATCTGAGGTCAGCTGTGGCCACCTAAGCTGGGGGCAGACGTGAGGCTAAGGGTTGTTGGGGGGTTCATGAAGAAGAGGCGGAAGTACTCACCCTGGGCCATGAAGGGCAGGCGGCTGTAGGACCCGTGGGGATGCAAACCATACAGCTGCGGTCCAGTCGGGTCTACGCCACCCACGATTAGGGACGCCGCCACGTGGCCTTGGTACCTGTTTGCAAGGGGCGTGGTTATCTGCAAGCTGCATCCAGGCCTCGCCTCTGGCACCACCAGCCCTGGGCTCGAGCCCCACCCCTTCCAGTCGTTTGGCGGCCAGCAATGACGTCACCCTTTCCTGTTGTTTAGTTTTTCTTAGGCCGGCCTCTTCCTCTTTCCCGGCCCGTCACCGACTCCCTTTCTACTGTCTCTCCTACCAGCTCCTTCGCCGTAGTTCCCCTCCCAGGGTCATTTAGTCGGCTACCGCACCGGAAGAGAGTCTGGCGGAGGATGCGGGTGACCGTGGCTACGCGAGGCTCGCGGCCCGTGTACAGTGCATGTAGCTCCATGTTAGACGCCGCCATCCGCGTGATCATCTCGGCATCCGCGGCTACTCCAGCCCCACAGCAGCTGAAGGCGAAGGGAGAATGGGCGTGGGCAGGGCTAGGAAATGCAGGGCCTGGGGTGGGATCGAGGGGGCGGTTCTTTTCTTGCGTGCGGGAACTGGGCTTGGGGATTCTCACTAGATTTTGGGGGCGATGTAGTGAATCTTCTCGCAGTTCTCGTTCGCTACGACCTTATCGTCAGTGGCGCGCGTATCTGCTCCCAGGATGATACCGTCCTGCAGATGGGGAGGGGCCTCTTAGTGCCCATCTGGTCCTCCCACCTCGGCTGTTCCTCTAGTCCCCCAGAACCAGGCCCTTGCTCACTCGGAACACCAGGCCCGCAATAGTGGTCCCAGTCTTGCGTGAATGAGGGGTTCGGAGCCCCGGAAAGGCGCGTTCCAAGGATGCATTTCTGGAAAAGGGAGGAGGGTGGCTCAGGGTTAAGTTCGGCTTCCAAGGCCCCTGTCACATTCTCCAGCCGTCCAACCAGTATCGCTATCTTCCTAATCTCCCAGGTAAACCTGCAACCCGAATCTTAACACAGGCTTCCTGTACCCCCAACCAGAAAAAGTAGGCCCACGGCATAGCACCGACCCCCCTTTCACCTCTGGCAGTTCTCGAAGCAGAAGCCCCCTTGGGGTACCAGCGCAGGCCCCAGCATCTAGTACCAGGCAGGGCCAATTGCTATAGGGACCAATGGGTCAGTCGGATGAGTGGGCCCGGGCAGCAGAAGATCCACAGCCTCAGCTTCTGTAGGGCTTCACAGATCAAGTTTGTTGCTTTCGCTTCGCATCTACTCCCCACCCACTTCAGAGGCTGTTTTTTTGTCTTCTTTCACTTTCACCCTCACCTCTGGTCCTAGGTAGCTTGGAAAGCGGGTGATGCTCTTTGCCAACCTTTCATATCACTCCCTGAACCCTGTATTTGGAAAGAGGAACAGTTCTTTCACTCTGGCCGTTGTTCAGTTCCCATCCCTTTCCAGCCGGATATCCTCAACTCTCTAACCCAAAGCCCAACTCTAGCCTCAAGTGCCAATGCAGTAAAGTGCAGCTTGTGGCCAGGCCTCTGTTGGCATAGTTACTGCCTCCCAATGTAACAGATGTGGTTGACTTTTGTCGTTTGTCACTTTTTTTTCAATTCCTGCGTTTTTTGCCTCCTGGAAACCTCAAACACTTAAGGCTCAATCCTCAGCAACAGTGATGCTGGTCCTTCCATTTTTCCCTCTTCCCATCTTACGGGGGTACTGTAGGCTGGAGGTGTAGCTCAGTGGTAGAATACTTATGTAGCATGCATGAGGCTCTGGGTTTCAGCCTCAACACTATAAATAAAACCTTCATTATAGGGCTGGGGACTTAGCTCAGTGGTGTTGCTGCCTGCCTTACAAGTGCAAGGTCCTGAGTTCAATCCCTGGTACCAAAAAACAAAAAAAACCCTTCATTATAGAATAATCTAATTAATAGCTGTAATTGCCCTGGATTTTTTGTTTTGAGACAAGTTCTACCTATATAGTTCAGACTGACTTTACATTCCTTTTGTGGCCCAGGCTGGTCTCAAACTCATAGCAATCCTCTTGCCTCAGTCTCAAGAGTGCTAGAATTACTAGTATGTGCCATTAGGCCCTACCCACTCCCTCAGATTCTAAACTTCATTTTTTGTTTCTTGAGACAGGGTGTCACTATGTAGTCCAGGCTGGCATTGAACTCTGATCCTCCTGTCTCAGCCACCCAAGTGCTGAGGTCATAGGTGTGTGCCACCATGCTTGGCTAAACTTTAATTTTTTGGTGCTAGGGGTGGAATACAGGACTGTGTTCTATCATTGGGCTACACCCTCAGCCTGCAGATTTTACACCTGTACATCTGCCACCCACCCAGCACTTTTCAAAGGGTCACGAGGAGCTGGGACAAACAGCTTAGGTCAACTTTTGTGGGTACAGCCAACTCCAGTCCTTACACTCTGAACAGAGAAGTAGGCACAGGGCAGGCTCCTTTAACAGATCAACCACAAGAATGGTAAGCCACACATTCCAGGGTCCAGTGCAATCTCAGGCCTTAGCAGAGCCTATCTTGCCTCATGTTCCACTGAGCCCTGGGCCTGATGCACTAATCTTAGATGTGGGAACCCTAATAGTTACCTCCTCCTTGACCCATAACAGGGCTTACAGCGGGAAAGGTCTTTTTTATTCAGGGGGGCAGGGGTCCTGGGCTGGCAGTTGGATGTGCAGGGGTACCATGGCGGTAGGCACCCAGTAGGATGGCATTGATGTACTCTAGTGTCTGGTTGCTGAACACCATATTGAGGTGCTGGGTCTCATTCAGGGGCAGCAAGTATACAGGCTGGGGTTGAAGGTCCTGCCATAGGCCACAGAGCTCACTGCTACGTGTGGCCACTGTGTCATCGCCATCTTCATAGAGCACATTCACAGGGTCTGAGTAGGGGAAGCCATGGTCATAGATGTAGGTGCTGGGGGTGGACAGGCCCACACCATATAAACAGTATACTTCCACACCAGGTGCTGGGAGTCCTGCCAGCAGGTCACGTGACTGTAGCCACATGTACCAGCCATCCTCAAAATGCAGGTCAGCAAAGAAGCGCTGGAAGTCACGGCCTGTGTAGTTGAAGCTTGGCGTGGAAATGAACACGTGGCCTTCAGGCCACACCTGGTAGGAAGGAAACATCCAGGGGGATGTCGTCGTTATCCGCTGCTCCTCTCTCAGCTTGATGCTGGACATGAGTGGGATGCCCTGGTTGTTACCTGTGAACACAGAGCAAGATAGGACAGGAAGCTAGGGTTGCCTACCTGTGGCCCACAGTTTGCCCCTAGTCTAACCTCAGCGGGATGTTCAGGATTGTCCCTTGCCAGGATTAGCTTGTGAAGACTTGAGCAGGCATGGTTTTCAGCAGGTGCTCAATGTGTGCTTATTAAATGAGAGGCCATGATAGTATCTGTGTGAGACAGATATGTAGGGTCTCAAGGTACTGGTGGGGAGTGTTTCTGGAGGATGGGCTGTGTGAATGGTGTGGGCGGTGCTGGCTTTTCTTTCTCAGGCTCTGTGAGGCCTGTGCTGCACCAGGACCACAGGATTGTTTTGGGAAGGATGAAACAAGATGACCCTCCACTTACTGGTGTGTTGTTTTTGTTTTTTTGTTTTTGTTTTTTTTTTTTTTGAGACAGGGTCTCACTATGTAGTTGAGACTGACCTGGAACTCACTATGTAGCCCAGGCTGGTCTCGAACTCACAGTGATCCTCCTGCCTCAGCCTCCTGAGTGCTGGGATTACAGGCGTGCACCACCATGCCCGGCTTTGGTGTATTGTTTTTATCTCATCTGATTGTGAGCTTCTAGGGGGAAGGTCAAGCCTGGCTGTGTCTAGCATACAGTGGGTTCTCAATAGGTGGTTTCTGTGTCTGCTGGGTCTCCAATCTATCCCTCAGGGAAGGGCAGGTGGGGCTCCTGGGTCTAGTCCTGTCCTCAATAAGGCAAATGCTTGGGCACAGGGGCCTCTGGGAGCAAAAGGCAGCTGAAAGTGGACAGAACCTGGGACTGCTGGGATTCACTTCTTCTTTGTCATTAGTACACAGACTCTGGGAGGGGCCATCCTAATGGCCCTGCCAAGGCTGTTGCTCTTGGGGAACTAATGACAGCAGGCATACATAACCCATACCCTAGGAGTGGTAGCTAAAATCCCCAGATGCCAGCTGCATGGTTTGCTTTATTTTACCCTCATTGCTCACAGGACACAGGTGATCAGAGGCCCTCTTACCTGTGGCCAAAACCAACATTGGCTTGGTAGAGCCACCCCAGGGAGCCCCAAGTGAGATGAAACCATCGATGAAGCGGTCCTTCCATGACTGGGGCTGACGCAGCAAAAAATAGAGCAATTGCAGGCAGCCAAGGCTGTGCCCAATGAGGAAGACAGGCTTCCCATAAGCAGCATACATCTCCTCTACCAGCCCAGCCAGTTTTTGGTAGTATTCCTCCTGCTGGCCTGCAGGGGGTGGGGGATGGATGATGGGTCAGGGTAGTAGATTCAGGGGCCACTTGCCCTGCCGCAAGCCTATCACCTGCAGACACTCACCAGGTTCAAGGCGCCAGTCATAGGGGGCAGCCCGCACTGTCTCATCCCGCACATACCCATTGTTGACCAGATTCTGTACCAGGGTGTGCATGTAACCTGGAGGCAGAAGCAATGGAGCTCTGGTTATGACACCTGCATGCAGGCCAACCCTGCTGGTAGACCACAAGCCAGAGCCCCTAGCCTTTCTCCCAGTCCACATACCTGCTAGCTTGTTGCTGTCCAAGTACTCAACAGAGTAGGTCTTCCCAAAGCCAGGGACACGGATCTCTACACCAGGGGCATTAGACACACGTCCAGAGCTGCGGTTGTAGACAACCCTGGGGGTAGTAGGAAATTCAGCAGCCAGTAGCCAAGGGGCAATGTGAGGCTGGGAAGAGCAAATAGCACATACCTGGTGTTATCAATCCAGCAGTCCACCCCAAAGGGTAGAAACATATTGAGATCCAGCCAGATGGTAAAGAAGTCCTCTGTCTTGCGGTAGCACATCCAATTCACCACATCCGGTTTATCCAGCTTGGCTTCTAGCTGATTCCCCAGGCAGCCAGGCACTGTGGGTACCGGCTCTCATTCTGGACGCCTTGGTTTCCCCACCATGAACCCACCCTTCCATCTCCCTCACCCTCAACTCCTAGGCATTAACAACATGTATCCTCTTCTGATCACACTCCCCCCTCCACCCTAGTAGCCCAAAGCCCAAGTTCCCAGTAGGCAGGGAAAGGTGCAGGAGCCAAGGCCACTGACCACTGCCCCCAACAAAGCAAACAGGCAGCCTGGCTTTCTATTATTGCCAAAGTCCAAGGTTTGGAGGTATGGGAGCTGGGCCTAGAGCAGGGGGCAGGCTTTAATGGGCTTCTCCTCTCCTGCTACTGGGCCCTGGGCCGGGCATCTTGTCTTTGATGGGGTAGGGGCCAAGGAAGAAGTGGTGGGCATTGACCCAGAGTCGAGTGTGGCCACTGCTGACTATAGCTCGTAATGTTCTAGCCAAGACATCAGGTACCCACTACCCCGTCTTGCCCCTCCCCCGGAACAGACAATCCAGAAACACAGAAAAATGTGGTAAAGGAAAGGGGTAATTTCTCTGCAGGACAGTCCTTGATCCCTCCCCAGAGTGAGGCAGGCATCAGGGCTAATGCAAGAGCAGAGCCTTGGCAGTGTCTGCTGCCTGGGGCTAGGGTCCCAGACTCCCCAAAGTCTGGGCTGGTGCATCAGGGGCCTGGTGGGGGCTTACCGAGGATGACTGGCCGTGTGTGGTTACTGAGTTCAGCCTTGGGCGTGGTGTGCGGGGGGAAGAGCACATTGAGGAGCCAGAAAGGGGAAGCAGCGGGGAGCAACAGTAGCAGCAGCACCCATTGCCATGGGGAGCCCGGCGGCCCCATTCCAGCCCAGTGTCTACTCCAGATGAAGCAGCCTTAGGCTGGCCTTATCTGGTATGGGGGTGGGAGGGGCCCCAGGGCTGGTGGGAGGGGCAGCCTGGCCAATGGGGGTGGCCATTGCCCGGAAGGGGCACAGCCTCAGGGAGCCAGCTCTGGGCCTGAGTTCATTTCTGCCTTCTTCCCTTGGCGCCAGAGGAAATAGCCGGGGCAGCAGGAGGCCCAGAAGTACACAATGTTTTATTGAAAAAAGTCAGGCCTCAGCTCAGCCAGCTCCATTCTGCTTGGCTTGGTGGGGGTCCCTGTCCACAGTAGCCTGAGCCAGGTCTTCCCGCAGGCAGGCTGGGCTTGACCCCTTCCCTTGTTGCCTTTCCCTTCCCTCTGATGGTGACAAACAATAAATATACAATAAATAGTGTTTCAGGGCCGGGCTGGGCCTTCAAACTCCACATTAGCCTGTACCAGTCTTCTCTAGCAGGGCAAGCCTACTGGGGTCCCAGAGGCCATGTCCCCAAACTTCCCAGGTCCTACAGGATGTCATATCCATCTCCATTGCCAGGCCCAGACCTGGTTTTCTAGGAGACCGAGCAAAGCTGGTCCAAGGCAAGGCTGGGTGAAGCAGAGCTGGCAAGTAGGTGCTGGGGGGGTAGAGGAGGGCTGTTGCCTTGGATACCACTACTCCAGGTCACAAGACTACATTGGGCTCAGGAGTAGATGGTGATGACTTCACGGCCACCACCACGCACCAACAACACCCGCTCAAGGCCCTCAGTTAGAACCTCAAGGAACTCCATGTCTGCAGGGCATCAGGTCAAGGAGGCCAACAACAAGACCAAGGGGAAACCAGATCACCCCCACCCAGAGGAAGCCAGGGGACTTGACCTGACTTCACATTGTCCATCTCCCCGTCTGCCTCTCCAGAAAGGGATACAGTTCTCATCACCCTCGCTGTTTTTGGGTGGGCCAGGCATGTTCAGGAGGACCAGGCGGGCATCGTGGGAGCGTGTGACAATGACTTCATTGAGTTTTACAGCAGTGTGCATGCGTCGCACATTGGACTGGTCCCTGTAGGTAACAC